GGAGTCAAAAGTAACAATTTTTATATTATATTATATTATATTTATATTAATTTAAACAATCATTATCAAACAATTATATTCATTTAGTAACATAAATATATCTTAAGTGTATATCTTTAGAGTCTTATAATTCATTATCTTCTTGTCGATCCACCAGTTCACATTTACAACTGCGTGTTTTCTGCGTAAAAATAAAGGTCGTTTTTGGCTTTGATCTAAACAAAGAGCAGAAGGGCTTATTGAAAAATGCCAATTCATTCTCTTAGCGATAGAGTCTATTTACACTAAGTGCAAATAGTGATGGATGCTATTTACACTAAGTGCTAATAGCAATGGATTCTATTTACACTAAGTGAAAATAGCAGTATTTTTAACAATATGCTATTTTAACTAAGTGCAGATAGCGATATATTCTATTTATACTATGTTAAAATAGCATGCTGCCATGACAAACAATATGCTCCGGATATCGCACAGGCCATGGTGTGACTGCTCTTGGCTCATGTCAAATGAAGGAGCATTGAAAGAGAGAGAGAGAGAGAGAGAGAGAGAGAGAGAGAAAGGATGCCACCCATAATTTTCTCTGCTGAGTCTCCAAACCAAAAATTGTATTCTCCAAAGCAGGTGATGGAACTCAGTGAGGAATCAAATCATTAAGTCCTTTAACTCATTATTTAGCATGGTGAATGGCACAGATATAGAGTCAAACTGTGGAAAACCGGCTGAACCTTTTAGCTTTTTGGCACTCTGAGTAAGGTTGCCATTTGACGAAGATGTGTATAGTACTCTAACCCAAATTACATACTACTATGGAGTCTCTGACAGTTGTAATTACACCGTTCAAATGATCTAAAGGAAACTCACAAAGAAACCAGTGACCTTGAGTCAGTGCTGAATACAAATGCTTGATTTCAAGGTAAGCTACATTTATCTCAGGCAGACAGAAGGCTCTTAGAGAAATCTCTTTGTTCTATGACAGTAAGAGTGGAAGCCTAAAACAAGATACTTGAAATTGAAATTTGGATCCTAAAAGATCCAAGTGTAACACAAGACATGGATTAACAAAATTTTGATGGAAGACCATTCAACATGCACATACATAGCTAAAGGATGAGAGAGTGTGTGTACAATACACAATGACTAATTCTCAAATGATCACCATTTATTTCTGATTAAGTTAGCTGTGGAAACATTTCAGGATCAGCAGGTGGTCTCCTAGGATACTGCAAAGCTTTCTAATACAAGTTACAGAGTTACATCATTCAGACCTACAAGATAGTTGAGCCCTTCCTAAAAATCTCCCCAGCTCTTTCTCTGGGCCCTGTGGGCTATCCATTCACTGTCTGGGACACCTAGCATCAAACAAGGGAACTTCGGGAACTTCGAACTGCGTCCTCTAGGGGTCGCTATGGGGAACGCCTCGTCGTGACCCGTGTCTGAAGCATACATTGAAAAAACACCAACAACACATTGGCCGGCGACAGCCATGACGTCACTACCGGTGCGACTATAGTATAAATAGGCACCGGGAGAACACATCATCCTCTTCTTCGTCTTCACTGACTGTTTTGTTTGAAGCGTGCATTTCCGTGGTAAGAGCGATCTCTTTAATTCATTATGGCGAGCACTAGCAAAGCGTTTAGAAAATGTGTGCATCCGTGTCATCGCTATTTGACACCCGATGACACACACGATCTATGTGTTGTTTGTTTGGGCGAAGAGCACGCACGCGATGTCCTCGAGGGGGCAATCTGCATGCACTGCGAGTGTTTTCCAATGAAAAAGCTCCGTTCTCGTTTGTCTCCTATTTCGAGTAAAGAGGGGCAGCCATCTGCTTCCCGCGGTCCAGGACCCACCGCTGCTGAGGCACGGAGGAGAATGAGCTCGTGGGGATCTCAGGTGGACCTGGCCGATGAGTTTAAAGAGGGGCTTCTGTGGGTAAACCTGGCAGACATCGGGAAGAAAGAAAGGGGCTTTCTTCTCGATGCCCTGGTTTCGCCCTCTGAACTTTTTGGTACCTCCGTTGAGATGGTGATTGGGAAGTTCAGGGAGGCGAAGGCGTGCTCAGCAGCCTTCAAATCTTTCATTCCATGAAGGTCCAGGTCTAAACCCCAACAACCTAGGGGTCCTGGCCCGTCTCGGTTTGAGGATCAGAGACGAGCACAGAAGGCTAGTGTC